GTTGGTCCACACTGCAAAACGTAGTGGAGGTACATTAATGGCCATTTTTTTGTGGTACTGTTACGTTTCTTCTGCCTATACGTTTTCTATTGTTTTACGTCCTAGTCACGTGACTTTCAAGATTCCAGCTGGGAGAAGAAAAAAATATATATAGATGGCCGACATTCGCTCATTTTTTTGTGGAAAGATTAATAACTTGAGTTTGTTTTTGCATTAAAATGAGTTTTGATTACATTTCTAGTGAGAAATGTATAGTTTGTTGCCAGAATATTTACTCAGGGAATGTACATATTCACTTGCTTGTTCGTTTCTTGCAAAGATTTTTCAAGATAATGTGAAACTGTAACATTTTGGTATAAACATGGCTGAGATTTCTCTAACTTTTAGTGGGAAAATCAATAATTTCAATAAGTTTCTGCATTTAAATGGGTTTTGATTACATTTATAGCGAGAAGTGTAGGGTTTATTTACATAATATTTACTTAGTGAACATACATAATCACCCGCTTGCTAGTTTTTGCTACGTTTTTCGGATCTCGTCAGGATTATGTGAAATTGCAACGTTTTGGCTGCTACCCATCGTCTAGCATTTAGCTGCCGCCCCGATTCAACATTGAATTCTTTGTGATTTAACTCCATCAGACGGATCAAACCCTCGCCACTGCGTGCGTTGCGTCTGAGGTTGATTTTCAGATCAATGCATTACATCGTGGCATACGGGAGAAACTAATTAAACTAGTTAAAAAAAGGATCATGGGTTAAGATCGGATGTGTTTTATTTGGAAATCTACCGGATCCTTTGTGCAATTAACTTCCTGTTTGGTGCGATCTCATTGATGGATTTTGACCAGATTTTGACCAAAGAGGAACTAAAAAAAAACAAAAAACAATTTAAATACACAACCAGCATATCTGGAATCAATGACAGAGAGCGACTGGGACCAGAAGTTTATTAATTTCTCCCCACTGATTTCCATTCAAAATATTTTCGCTCCCACCGGGCTCTAGTGAAGGGGCGGGCATACCGCCACCTACTGTTCATGAGTGTGTAGCAACATTGTTTTACATCTATTAAATTCTATTTTTTAATTTTGTATTCTGAAGATAAATAAATAATGCTTTCCTTAATCTATAAATATCTTTTATATTTCCTTTATTTCCCAATAATCCTTTAAGACTCCATTCTTGGCCTGTCCTCTTCAATTTCTTCCTTTCAGGTCAAGATGTTTTAAAGTTCATCAATACGTGTTCTATATTTTCTATCTCTCCACGTCCTTCACATTTATCATTATTTTTCCTCCCTATTAAGTATAAATTGTCATTTAAATAAGTATGACCTACTCTTAATCTGATCATTATTATTTCTTCCCTTCGGTTTCTCTCATTATTATTTCTATTTAATACTGACTTTTGTACTTTATATAACCTTCTTCATTTTTATCTTCATTCCACCTTTTTTGCCATTTTTCAATGTCTTTCCTCTTAATAAATGATTTTCCTTCCCCTTTCCCTAAAGGAATTGTAATTGTTATTGCCTCCTCTAATTGCTAATTGGTCTACTACTACTACATTTTCCCACTTTGACCTTTTAAGGTTAGCATATTGACCAAAAGCTGACACCAAAAATAAAGCAATCGATTATGTACAACAATATGCTACATTTAATGAAGACTAATACAGATTTTACTCCCTTATAAGAGTTTAGTTTTAGGTTTTATAGGGGAGAGTTTGTATCGGCAGTCATCTGGGAATCTTTTATGTATTTACTAGTAAAGAATATGCTGATGAAGGTTCTCAGTCATCCAGGTCAAAGTCATTCCGTAAAATTTTTTTTTGATATTTTTTCCGGTAGATTTCCAAATAAATGGGACGGTAGATTTCCAAATAAATGTTTTTGATATTTTTTGAATTTTTACGGAATACTGGTAAAGAACAACCTCTCAACCCATTTAATGTAAATGTTGCGTCGAACCAGAAAGTTATTTGAAGAGCATAGATGCATAAATATGTCCATAGCTTTAACAAGGGCCTCATGAAGGTCTGTTCTGTTATTCTCTTTTGGAGAATATAGACATTGTGGGCATTCATTTCCCTGATAAGCTGGTGAAGATTCTTAGACATCCAGGTCATAATCATTCCAAAAAAAAACAAAAAAACTTTGGACTTTGTTTTTCAAGTTTGAAGACTTCCCATTCAGGACGTTTTTCAATTCAAAATTACAGTAGCCCAACAAATCCTTGTTTTGGCTAAGAAATATGCAAATTGAACCTGATGCCTGATCCCAATAGCTTGAATCTGAACCGAATTTGATCCCTATTACTTTTTGGCCACATGCACATTATTGTGCTGCCTGGTCAACCCTATGAAAATGTTCTGGAACTGCCACTGAACTGACACCCAATGCATGGAGGGTAACCCAAAAAGGGCCATTGTTAGAGAAACTGGGTGCCTACAAAGTGCTGTTTTCAAGCTAATTAATGGAAAGTTAGGTGGAATGAAAAGTAGACAAATAACAATTACAATTTCTTTAGGGAAAGGGGAAGGAAAATCATTTATTAAGAGGAAAGAAATTGAAAAATGGCACACAAAAAAAAGGTGGAATGAAGATAAAAATGAAGAAGGTTATATAAAGTACAAAAGTCAGTATTAAATAGAAATATTAATGAGAGAAACCGAAGGGAAGAAATAATAATGATCAGATTAAGAGTAGGTCATACTTATTTAAATGACAATTTATACTTAATAGGGAGGAAAAATAATGATAAATGTGAAGGATGTGGAGAGATAGAAAATATAGAACACGTATTGATGAACTTTAAAACATCTTGACCTGAAAGGAAGAAATTGAAAAGAGGACAGGCCAAGAATGGAGTCTTAAAGGATTATTGGGAAATAAAGGAAATATAAAAGATATTTATAGATTAAGGAAAGCATTATTTATTTATCTTCAGAATACAAAATTAAAAAATAGAATTTAATAGATGTAAAACAATGTTGCTACACACTCATGAACAGTAGGTGGCGGTATGCCCGCCCCTTCCCTAGAGCCCGGTGGGATCGAAAACATTTTGAATGGAAATCAGAGGGGAGAAATTAATAAACTTCTGGTCCCAGTCGCTCTCTGTCACTGATTCCAGATATGCTGGTTGTGTATTTAAATTGTTTTTTGTTTTTTGTTTTTTGTTCCTCTTTGGTCAAAATCTGGTCAAAATCCATCAATGAGATCGCACCAAACAGGAAGTTAATTGCACAAAGGATCCGGTAGATTTCCAAATAAAACACATCCGATCTTAACCCATGATCCTTTTTTTAACCAGTTTAATTAGTTTCTCCCGTATGCCACGACGTAATGCATTGATCTGAAAATCAACCTCAGACGCAACGCCGCAGTGGCGAGGGTTTGATCCGTCAGATGGAGTTAAATCACAAAGAATTCAATGTGGAATCGGGGCGGCAGCTAAATGCTAGGCGATGGGTAGCAGCCAAAACGTTGCAATTTCACATAATCCTGACGAGATCCGAAAAACCGTAGCAAAAACTAGCAAGCGGGTGATTATGTATGTTCACTAAGTAAATATTATGTAAATAAACCCTACACTTCTCGCTATAAATGTAATCAAAACCCATTTAAATTCAGAAACTTATTGAAATTATTGATTTTCCCACTAAAAGTTAGAGAAATCTCAGCCATGTTTATACCAAAATGTTACAGTTTCACATTATCTTGAAAAATCTTTGCAAGAAACGAACAAGCAAGTGAATATGTACATTCCCTGAGTAAATATTCTGGCAACAAACTATACATTTCTCACTAGAAAGGTAATCAAAACTCATTTTAATGCAAAAACAAACTCAAGTTATTAATCTTTCCACAAAAAAATGAGCGAATGTCGGCCATCTATATATATTTTTTTCTTCTCCCAGCTGGAATCTTGAAAGTCACGTGACTAGGACGTAAAACAATAGAAAACGTATAGGCAGAAGAAACGTAACAGTACCACAAAAAAATGGCCATTAATGTACCTCCACTACGTTTTGCAGTGTGGACCAACGTAGTGGGGGTACATTTTCCCATGAGACTGGGTTGGCGTGTCTTAGAGGGTCACCATCTGCCCAGTGGTTGGTTAGCAGCCACTGGCCACAGTCACAAAGACGGGTATTCAAATGTCAAAAATTTGGCTATACAGCAGCAATATACAAAGGAAAACAGCGATGTGGAAGGTGTGCTGGAGTCAGTATTCTAAAGAGAGCTGCATGTTAAAGGCATCTATCTGGTCTGTTAGTCACTTAATCAATTCAGAACAAAAATTTTTGGATCATTGTTGTTTTTAAGCCCAACATAACCTAAACTGCCAAAAAATAAATGAATTCTAAAATCTATACCTTAATCTTTTAGTTCTCTAGTTAAAAATGATTTGTTATACTCTGACACTTTCCCAGTACTGAGTTCACTACAGATTAAAGGTATTAGATCCATGATATTAGATGTAAAAATAACATATGTGTTGGGATCTGGAGAATCACCACCTGTCTCCAGCAGGGTGCGCTGTGGGTCTCCTGGGCTGGAGCCCTCCAGCACACCTGAAGCTCATCAGCCCATCAGGAGACCTTCCTATATAAGCAGCAGCCAGACCTTTCTTCAACGCCGCAGTGTTGACCAAGTTTGGTTAGCAAACCTGAGCCTCTGTCATTTTAGAGAATCTTAGTTGGCTCTAGAGAGAAACTAGATTCTAACCTGCCTTTGTCTTCTTTGCTCACAGGAAACCCAGAAGCTCTGGATGAGCTTTGACTGGAAACCTGCCTGCTGGCCCAAGAAAGCCAAACCAGAAGATATCAGTCTGGATTCCTCCTACAGCTCTCAAGGAAGAGCTAGGAAACCAAGTCAAGGTCAGAAACCCAGAAGCTCTGGATGAGCTTTGCCTGGAAACCTGCCTGCTGGCCCAAGGAAGCCAAACCAGAAGATATCAGTCTGGATTCCTCCTACAGCTCTCAAGGAAGAGCTAGTAAAACCAAGTCAAGGTCAGAAACTCACGAGTCAGAAGCTAGACGCTGCTGCTGCTGAGCTCCCTGCTGAATCCATAGTCTCTGGACCCAACCGGTTCCCCCCCCTCTCAAAGGATCTGCCAGAACCTCTCCAAGGTACATTCTAAATTAACACACTTGACAAGCCATCTAAACTGCTTGGCTAATCAAACTATCCATCTCTGCAGATATCAGTGATTCCAGTCCCGGACCTGTACCAGAACTAGTTCATATTTCTCTGTGTGTGCCTTTAATAAACTGTTGAACTTTTACCCCTGACTCCGTGGTGTGTTCTGCATATGGGTTTATCAGAAAGCCATCATGACAATATGGAGGAGATTCCTCTTAAAGGCATATTTTCTAAATTCGATTAGAAGACACTATATTTTAAACAAATTAATAACAGCTCAGATTTCTAAAGAAGAACTAAATATATAACTTAACATCTGCCTCTAAAAGTGAAAGAGATGCAATTCAAAATAATGAATGAAATATATCCAACTAAAGAATTTTTGTCATAAAAATTTTAATTAGATATAGAACATTGTATATTTGGTATGAGAAACATTGAAAGTTTGAAACATTTATCCTTTTTTTTTATTTAATTTTTAAATAATTGTGAACAGATTTCCAAAGCTGGTTAGACCTAAAGAACATTGTTCTGTCTCCACTATCTGACACTATTATATTATTTGGTTTAGAAAGTGAAAACTGTTCTCTGGAATATTTAGGAAACATTCTTATATTGATGGGAACATTTTTCATTCACAGATTTAGGTTTCTTTAAACAAAGCCCACCTTTGGTCATTGGAAGAATGATTTAGATTTATATTCTAAGTCTGTGAAACTGGTTAAATCTAAACATGCAGTAAATGATCATCTCTGTTGGAACGTTTTCATTTAATGTAATGTTGTCCTATTTTAGTTCTGTTTTGTTACTTGTTTTTATTTTATGTTTGTCACATCTCAGTTGCTACAAATTTGTGTTGTCATTGTAACATTAGCTTTTAGTATCTTATACTATTTTATTATTGTAGAGTTTTTTATATTTCTTTATTGCTGCCTAATGTCTGTTCTATTTTAATGTAATTGCTCCTATATTTGACAGATCAATGAATTATTACCCAGAATGAGATTAAAACATTTGATTCTGTTATATTTAGCAAGAAGTGATAAAAAGTTAATGAAACAAAAAGCATCACATTAGAGCCACATTTAGCTCCAAAGACTGAGTTGTTGTTGCAGCAGGTCTGGAGGAAGAGGAGAACTTTGTGGAGGTCAGCTGATTATTCCTGAACGAACATCTGGGAGAGAAATTTCAGTCAGAGCTGAACGACTGCAGCACTGAGGACAGATTGTTGGAGACTTTATTACAGGTTATGTTTTGTTCTGAACATTTGATTCTGTTATATTTAGCAAGAAGTGATAAAAAGAAGTTAATGAAAAAAAAAGCATCACATTTAAGGATCCAGTTGTTCTGTCTTGTAACCACAGCTTCTGTAAGGAGTGTCTGAAGAACTGGTGGAGAGAGAAACCAGGAAAAGAGTGTCCAGTTTGCAAGAGGAGATCTTCCAGGGATGAACAACCATTAAGTCTGGCTCTGAAGAACCTGTATGAGACCTTCTTACAGTAGAGAGAGCAGAGAGCTTCAGAGGATCTCTGCAGTCTGCACTCTGAGAAACTCAGACTCTTCTGTCTGGACCATCAGCAGCCAGTGTGTAGCAGGAAGCAATTTGTGATTGTTGCTTCCTGCAGAGAGACTCACAGACGATCAGATTCACCTTCAAACCAAACTAGCAGCTTCCTCTGAGTGAGTCCAGCTGCAGGAGAGAAAAGTGGAAACCTCCAACACTGCTGCTTCAAGCTGCTCACACTCCACACACTGAAGGTGAGTTGGACCAAGAACACCACTCAGAGTCACTTTGAGGGAAGTTAGTAGAGGAGGGAGGGGAGCCATGACTGACTGGACCTTCTGTGTTTTCAGCTTCACTCAGAGACTAAATGGCTTCCAGAGCAGAGGAGGATCTCTGCTGTCCGGTCTGTCAGGACGTCTTTAAGGATCCAGTTGTTCTGTCATGTATCCACAGCTTCTGTAAGGAGTGTCTGAAGAACTGGTGGAGAGAGAAACCAGTAAAAGAGTGTCCAGTTTGTAAGAGGAGATCTTCAAAGGATGAACCACCATTAAATCTGGTTCTGAAGAACCTGTGTGAGACCTTCTTACAGCAGAGAGAGCAGAGAGCTTCAGAGGATCTCTGCAGTCTGCACTCTGAGAAACTCAGACTCTTCTGTCTGGACCATCAGCAGCCAGTGTGTCTCGTCTGCAAAGATTCAGAAAAACACACCGAGCACAGATTCAGACCCATCGATGAAGCTGCTCAGCAACACAAGAAGAAACTTCAGGAAACTCTGGAACCTTTGAAGAAGAAGCTGGAGCTCTGGAAGAAAGTTCAAGAGGAGTTTGATCAGACAGCAGAACACATGAAGGTCCAGGCCCGACACACAGAGAGGCTGATTAAGGAGCAGTTTAAGAAGCTTCATCAGTTTCTAGCAGAGGAAGAGGAGGCCAGGCTGGATGCACTGAGGGAGGAAGAGGAGCAGAAGAGAGGGATGATGAAGGAGAAGAAGGAGGCTCTGAGCAGAGAGATAGCAGCTCTTTCAGACACAGTCAGAGCCACAGAGGAGGAGCTGAGAGCTGAAGACGTCTCATTCCTGCACAACTACAAGGCTGCAGTGGAAAGAGTCCAGCGCTGCCCCCTGCTGGAGGATCCACAGCTGCCCTCAGGAGCTCTGATAGACCAGGCCAAACATCTGGGCAACCTGGCCTTCAACATCTGGAGCAACATGAAGAACATGGTGTCCTACACTCCTCTCATCCTGGACCCAAACACTGCTGGTTCAGAACTCATCCTGTCTGAAGATCTGACCAGTGGGACTGTAGGAGAGAAACAGAAGCTTCCTGATAATCCAGAGAGGTTTGGAACTCTGTCCTGGTCTGTCCTGAGTTTTGAGGGCTTTAACTCAGGGAACCACAGCTGGGATGTTGATGTTGAAGACAGTAAAGTCTGGGAGCTTGGTGTGTCAGAAGAGTCTGTCCAGAGGAAGGGAATCTTAGTCTGGATTTTTGATTATATGGTTCGTAGAAGGTAAATACTATGCACGGTGTCCACCATCTCCTTCCAAACATCTCTCAGTTCAGAGGAAGCTCTAGAGGATCAGAGTGAATCTGGACTGGGACAGAGGAAAGCTGTCCTTCTCTTATCTGGACACTAACACACACACACACACCTTCACACACACCTTCACTGACAAGATGTTTCCATACTTCAACACTGTGGGTGAAGTAAAAATCTTACCCATGAAGATCTCAGTGAGCAAACAGCAGCTCTGATGTTCTCAGCATGAAGAACACAAAGTCCAAATGAAACTTTATTGATCTGACATTCACGGACCTTCACATACACACTCACACCTAAGGAGAATTTAGAGAAGCCAATTACCTTAATAGTCATGTTTTTGGAAACTGGAGATGATCTGATCTGATCTGACTGATCATCTGGTTGTTTTCAGGTCAGTTTCAGATCTGCTTCATAATCTGTCCAGATGCTACAAACTAAGACATGAAGTGGATGATGTGGAGTTTAGTTTGGTTCTGACAGCAGATCCAGGTGTGCTGATCATGAACAGGGAACAGGTGAGGTTAGTGGAGACATCAGGACCCTGGAGAGCTCTGCTGATGGAAACAAACTGAGATCCAAACATCCAGAAAAAACCGAGAGGTTTCCATCTTAGTATAAAACGACTTCGACCTTTGATGCTTCATATTTACTTTTGTCAAACATTTTCTGATCCTTTAACTTGTTCTGTTTATATCAAGCATGACTTTTTGTGGAGATGGATGTGTTCATAATCATCTTTAGTCTGAAAGAGCTATTTATAATCATCCTTAGAAATGTTTTGATTTGAAGTATTTTGATTATTAAACTATTAAAGATCACTGATTGTGTCTTTTAATTGTCAAACTTGATGCTTCATATGACCAGTAGAGGGCAGGACTGCAATGAACCATCTGGGTCTGGTATTAATCATGTCTGTGGAGAAAAAACATGCGGTTCTATTTTTAGCTCAAACTCAGGTGGTATAAAAACTCTAAAAGCAGCAGTTTCAGTGTAAAGATTTAAAACTAGTTTGAAAAACATTAAAAAACAATTTTTTTCTAAAAATACCTCTAGTTGTTTTTAAACCACTTTTTCAAGATTGTTGAGAGTTTGGATATAAGCCTTTAATTTTCAGAAGTATTGTGATCAAGAGCAGATTTCTTAACACTAGAAATACCAGGATTTTTCCGCCTACCTAGAACTTCCAGGGAGGGGTCAATTGTCCCGGCGGCTTTTCCCGGATACACTAATCACTCATTTTGTCATGGTAATGAGGCTGTTATGGGCCGTGTGTGGGGTGAGGGGTGAGGGGGTCACACCTCACAGTGGTAACAGCCAAGACAAACAGGGACAGTGTGTTACAGTACAGTTTTTCTCCCTTGGTTTGGCTCATTTCTTGAAATTGAGATGTCATTCTCAAAACATGGACAAATCCCAAAACTAATTTGCAGTTCCTCACAACAGAATGGCATTTATCATAACTTTCATCAAATTTCAAATGCTTTTGTATATGTCTCAATCATTTAGTACATCCTTGCAAATGGTTATGTACAAGTAAGAGTAATAAAGATAATTGTGCAAAGAACATTCTATGAGTTGCAAAAAAATGTGCAAAAAAACATACTAGGTCAGTTGAGGCAGACAAGATTAACATGACCAGGAAAGAGTGTTGACAGATACATTTATGATATAATATAGAGATATAGAAGTAAAAGAAATGAGACATAATTCAAGTCAGTATTTCCATAGTGTAATCAATAGTTCCATAGTGCAGTGATTGAAAGCTCAAGCCATTGTCTGAATTTTTCCAGAGTCCCTCTTGTCCCTCTTTTCAGTCTCTGACACTGTTGAATTGTTCATAAAATGTAATATTGTCAAAAGTGATTGGAATCTGTTGTGGGGCATCACATCAGCAACTGGGGAGTTCTGCGTATCTGTCTCCCAATACATACGGGTTCCAGCCATTTGGACCAAGCCCAACCTCAGGTACATGCCCAACATTTTCTGTATTTCCTTGATTGTGGCGTTCACAGATCTTCCATTACTTTGAACGCTGTACTCATTTGTATGGGTTGCCAGAGCTTGAATCATGTCTTCTGAGACAAACTTTTCAAAGT